CTTTCCTATACTCGGACATTTTATTTTGAACCCAACCCCTTGACTGAAAGGGCAGCTTATAGCTCTCATATATGGTTACAGATTTGCACATTTATAGTTCTGAAGTGGCAACTAAAGAAAGGTGTTTGGTTATTAATGAAGGTCTACAGGGTCTGGATACATCTTTTTAATGAAGTTTTCTATTTTTCTAATAAGAGAACTCTTGGAGTTTGTGAGGAGAAGACACCATTTCTCATGGGAACCCAGCCCAGTTAGGTTTTCTTTCCATTCTTGGATGTACACATACTTGCAAGTATGTATACATACATTTGGTAAAACCAAATAAGGAAATCCTAGGGTAGGTGCAGGATTCCAGAAACACACATGCTTACACTGATATACATAGTCTCCCTCTCTCACACCCGCATTCTTTCCACATGTCTCTCAAATGGATGGGAGAATGGACAGTGGGCAATAAAAGGTTGACCGATTTCAAAAGGGGAATCGGCCAATTCTGTATGACATGGCCCATCAACTGGAAAATAGTAAGATACAAGCTTGAGAATGTTTATGTCCCTTCATACTCCCCAAATTCCCAATGACATTGGGAAAAAAAATACTGCATTGCAGCATTTGCCAGCGCACCCTCGTGTGTCTAGCATCCGCTGGCCAGCTCACCAACGAATGTACATATTAAGTGGCCAGGCATATAAATTAAGTGCTTAGGCCACAGATCATTGGACCTGATGAAGAAATTTGTCAAGGCCAAAGTTCTTCTGTCCATGCACAATGACCTCTATCAAGACCACCATTCCTTACTGGCGGTACATACAGATAATTTGTTTCATTAAAAAAAAAGTAAAATAAAGCATTAAGATGCAAAAGGCTAATTGAAACAGCATATCTCCTCAAGGAAGGAATAGCATTTGGATTTCATAGAGGAAGAGAATCCACCCACAATAGGAAATAAGCGCAAAGGGAAGAAAAAAGACCAGAGAAAGGGACTTGCCCAGAGGAAACCCTTTCATTGCTTATGGTAACTCTTACTTGGGAAAAACACCTTGATTCACCTGCAAATTCTTTTAGAGATACTGAACACACACACACACACACACACACACACACACACACACACACACGCAAAGCAACATTCATGCACTGATTTCTAGATTTGAAATTTCAAATAGATTATCTCCAATAGAAATGCTAAGTTTAAAATATCTGAAGTTTAATGTATCCTAAATCCTATTTTAAGACCAAGTTTAGAACTAAAACGCAAACACATAGCTCATTTTCTCTCTCTCTTTTTTTTTAAAAAACCTACTGTTATTACCTCACAACAATCTGGCCTTCCTATCATAACAAAATCTTGAATATTCAAAGGACTAAGAAAGGGTTTCAGGGAGAGAAAAAGTTTTAAGGTTTTGGAAAACTATCAAACAAACAAGCTCATCTATATTTGGTCAGGAGGGTGACTTGAATGAATGGCAGTTAGGAGTGAATGGGGCTGAGATCACAAATGAATGGTTAAGGTTTGCTAGGGTTTTTTCCAAATTAAAATTGTCCTATAAATCAATAATTCTCAAAATAAATTTTTCAGCTATTTCCCCACCTATGTTTATTTTACTTTTTCAAAATTTAAATAATAAATGATTTAGCCATTACATTACAATGAGATACATGGACATTCTGATCATTAAAACTGCGATGAATCAGGTGTTTTTTTGCAGAAATATTTCCAACCAGATTTTCACTTCTTAATAAATGCACACTCAGCCTTGTGCTTCTATAAAGGTACACCTCCACATGCAGGTAGTAGGCATTAATATTTTTAAGACAAAGAAGTGAAAAAGGTCAGCAGAAGAACCACGTGTTTTTTTTTTACAATGCAAGCTAAGGTGACAGTTCTGATAGAAATTGTTTTATCCTGACTAAAAATGCTGGAAAATTCTCAGAAAAAAATTTCTATTAGAGTTAATAAAAAAATTCTATTTTTAATAGCAACATGTTTACATACGAGAGCAAGGTTCAAGTGTATGATAAAACTATCTTCATTTATTTTCACCTTAAGAGTCAAAACAAATTTTTAAATATCTCCCAATAAGGAGGCAAAACAAAAAGAAGGATTGGCAAGGAAAAAGGAACGGGGGGGGGGGGTGTGGGGGTGGAGGTTCAGAGATTTGCAGTGGAGGGAGTAAAAAAATTAAGAGTACTTTCAATAAAGCCAATTATATTTCTTAAATCTTTTATCACATTTCAGTATTTTTTAATCTCTCATTTTTGGGCTTAAAATTAGTACCTGATCCTGTATCAAATTTGCCTCTCAGTAAAAAACCGTAACAGGTCATTATTTCAGTTGTTTTACATTACCTTCTATTTGCCTAAATAGTATACCTTTCAGTCCTTCTGGCACCTACCATCATGAAAAAAAGAGACTACTAGTAAAACACATTTAGAGAAAAAGCGAGAGATGTCTGCCACCAGCTCACACATGGGTCCCAGACATTCAGAGACACTGAAAAAAAATCAGCTTTTCACTCAGTTTATGCCAAGACCAGAACTGGGACCAAATGCCAAATTGAAGGCAGTGGTTGCAAGGGTGCTGCCTGATGGCTCCTGTGGCTGGAGATACGGACAGGCAGGCAGAGCAAAAGGCTAGAATACAGTTTTTCGTTTGTTATTTTAAAAAGTAATTTCTACTCAAGATATAAAATGAGAGATACAATGAATCCCCTGGAACTGTAGTATCAACATCTGATTTAGTCAAAATACCACTATCATTGAGCATAAAATCATTGTTTAGGGTAAATCTACTCTACCTATATTCCACCTATAGATGGATATTTGCTGGAAATTTCTAAGAAATCATTTGCAGAACCTATCAGCTGTGGGAGTTTATTATGCTTCCGTCAACTTCATTCAATATAATTTACATTTTTTTTCAAATGGCCTCATAGGATTCCTTGCGATTTTTCGCATGTGCAATTTCACAGCAGGGAAAAGGGGGGTGGGGGGAAGAGAGAGGGAGAGAGAGAGATTCCCTACCCTCCCTTCCCCCTTTCCTTCTCTCTCTGATTTTTAAACCAAGAAAAAGGAAAGAAAAAAGAAAAGAAAAAAAAAACAGAGGAGACAGAACAGATGCTTAAAAATAGATTTCTAAAAATCACTGTAAACCAGAGTTAGAAATGTAATTAACACCTATTTATAAAGAATAATTAAAGTTGGGCCGGCCACAAAGAACAGCAAAGATAATCGAGGTCCTGTCCCCCCCTTTTTACACTGTTTGCAGAGTGTTCTCATGATAGCCACCTGCTCCCTACTCGGCTTTTCCTCTGTTCGTTTCCCCGGCAACCTTTCATTGGGTTTTCCTCCCAGCTATCGCTTTCAGTTGGGCTGCTCGGTCTAATCTTATTTGTTTTACACCCATCAAAACAAGCAGCCAGACAAAGGCAATCCTCTAAGAATGGGGAAAAGACCACAGCTTTGTTATAACATCTATGCAGAGCGAAAAGTCCTCCCCAGGCTTTTCTAGTGAGAAATAAGTGAGATGGATATGAATTTACAGCCTACCCCCATACCCAGCTTTGAAACCCCGTGAAAGCTATTGCTGGTGAAAATTCAAAGTCAAAGTGAGCACTCGTGGCATCTGATCTTGCCATTTTGTGCTATATCTCTAGGGTCAACATCAGGCGACAGGAGCGACACTCAAGGAGTTTCCCTGCTTCTTCTTCTTCTTTTTTTCCCCCCGAAAGAGATGCTAAAAATAGATTTACTACTTGGGCAGATAGGTTTTCCACTTCTCTTCTACATCCAAAAGTCCCGTTTCACAATTGCATCTGTGGGTACTGAACCTTACCTCCTCTACCCCAGCCTTCCCCATCACTCCTAGTAGGAGACTGAAAAAGAAATGTGCCTTTAACTTTAACAGTCGTGCAATTCTGTTGAAAGCTCACTGAGGCGGTGGACCCGCCAGCCAAAAGCAATGGTGACATTGTGATTGTCAAAAAAGACACCGACCTTGCTTGGCTAAAATGTGTATTCTATGGAAGGCAGCGTGTGTGGCTGTGTGCATGCAATGCCATTACACTTGGAGATGGATTCTGGTTTTTGGAGAAGAGAAATACTAATAAACGCACACATACACACAAACGATCTGCACAGTGATTTACGATGCACAGTCCACCATCCTTACACACACACACACACACACACACACACACACACACACAATCGGTTGGAATCTCCAAGCTGTCTTCCTCTTTTCACTTACCATCTTCAAGCCATTCCACTCCATCTGTGATCAGAAGAAGATGGACCCTCACACAGTGTGTCAAAAGCGGAAAGGAACGTTATGTAAAAGCTGACATTCCTTCTTACAGAGCTGCTGCCCAGAGAAGGAAGCAACAACTCAACACGCCAGGCACTGCTACACATACAAGCCGCCTCCTCTTTTTTATGAGGTCATGACAGGAAACTCTTTGAAATACAAGATGCAGCATTTACTGAAGCCCAAATAAATCACTCTCTTTGCCGTTTTGACTGCGCAGTCCCCCGAAACACAACTGCCCATCTCAACGTTCAGTATCCAGGAGCTGCCTCTTAAGGTTTAAATTCCCAGCACGGAAATGGAGAGATTCCTAACCCGGCTGCATCCACCGCCTGCCCCACAAAACCCAGGCACGTAGACAAGCCCCCTCTCCCTTTACAAAAAGAAATCCCTTCTTTTGCCCTTACGGTCTCATGTAGTATAACCTCTTTCAATAAACCAGTAATTATTTCAGCCCACCTTCCCCCCACCCTTGCCTTTATGTTGAAGGGAAAGCTGACAATGACCTGTTAAAAATGACAATCTATTTCCCCACTGCTTTTCAATAAAAGGATCTACCCGCACTCTCTACACAAAAGAGATAGTAAATGTAGGAATCAAACAGCAGAAGAGAACTAAACTCTTGGTCAAGGTGTAGATGCTTTTCTTCCCTCCAGCAACACAAACAACAGATTATAAATCTAGTCATACCTACCATAACCATTCTTATTGGCAAATATTGGGTCTCGCAGAGCTTCGACTCTTCTCTTAAAATTTGCAAAGGTTTCAGAATATATATTTTTTAGATGGTTACTATTGTTATATATTTTTAAAGATCCACAAAATATAGTGTGGATGATTGTAAAGTAAATCAACTATTTTAGGGGGGATGGGGGAGAAAAGAAAAAAAAGAAAGAAAAGGAGCAGTGAGCTGAAACCCCCCGATTCTAGGATGTAGATAAGAACAACTGAACAGAGCCTTGCTGAAATTGGCTCGAAGCTTCCCCTTTTTACATCCATTTATGGGACCATCTGTCAGCCAAAGCAATGATCTGATTGGCTGGGGAAACGCAGGGAGGTGTTGCAACATCAGGTGCTATTTAAATTAGCTACTGCCAGATTGACGATGTTAATGATTTGGTGACCTCTACAACAACAGAGACCAGATTTCTGAACTGCTTCTTGTGTCTGGTAATTAAGGCCAGGCTGAAGCAACAACAGCCATACTTGTATTTTTACCTTTTCCCTCCTCCCAGCTCAAAAGTACTGTAACAACTGCAGGTCACTGGAGGCTTGTAAACCTAACAGTGGGAGTGTCCCCCCCGTCCCCTGTCTCCAGGGCTGTACCACCCCACCCTTCTGATGGAGGGCTTTTCCCATATAGAATATTTTCAACCACCTTATCTTTCTCGACAGTTGCTTTCTAGCGAAATGCATATTTAATGATCTGCCTCTAGGCTTAAGGATACAACAAAAGCACTTTAATGTGCTAATACATCTACATTTTAACTTTATTTCCCAATATTGCTGATTTTCAGTAAGTAAAGCTCCTTCTGCATCTAACAGGGCCAGCATTTCGAAAGAAAGCAAGTTTGAGAGTGTGCTTGCTCTGTGAACTGGGTTCATACAAGTTTGCTTCAGAAAACTCTTTCCTAATAAACAAAAAAGAAGAAAGCTGGGTTGCGGGGCTGGGGGCGGTGGGGGGGGGGGGGGAGAGGGGCAGCTGTCAGCCTCTACCTTTCTGCCTTCTGTCTGAGCTTTTCAAAACAGAGAATGATGAATGATTTATTTAAATTAATTTATTTCTCAACTTGGATAGAGGCATGATCTGAATTTTTAAAAATCCACCAAAACACATCCTATCTTTGCTTTCCCTATTGCTCTAGAGAAAGGCAAAATATGCTTGTGACAATGCCACATTTCATAACCTGTGCAGAGTGCTCATTTTGCTTAATTGAACACATGATTTTGCTTCTCTCCTTCAAATGATGTCTTTTTTCTTTGGCTTCTTAAAAGATTTGCAAAGAGACATTTAGCAAGTGTGTGGAGATATACAGAGTTTGTCTATGTTATACAATTCATAACCTGTACTCTACCAAGCCTTCGGTAATATAGTATTACATTCTGGTTTGGGTTTTTTAAGTGGCTCACCTGAGGAGTTTGTACTTTATTTCTATCCTGAAGACTAATTTATAACTATTTATTTAATTTATAAATTAATCATTTTGCCCCCCAATAAATACACAGTGGTAACAAATATTACTAAAGATAGGATGCAACATAATGTTTAATCTTTGGCTGGATTTGACAGCATGGTGGGATTGGGCAGATAGGCCAAAAATCGTTCTATACGCTGGGCTTCAAAGTCCAAGAATAAATGAGTCTGTGAAAAATTATTAGAAAAGAAATAACCTTTACATCTTTAAAAATTAAAACTATTCTCTACAAGCTACTGTGTCATGAACACACACATTTACATATACATATGTACACACTTTAAAAAATACAGATATACCATAAAACAATATGTGTTGGCTGCACTATATGAACTATTAGATTGGAATATAAATAAATTCAGCTAGTAGAAATAAAAACACATGGAAGAAAAGTAGAAATGTTAAAACTATGATCCCTTACAGTGGAATAATACTGAATTTAGTAAACTTAAAATAATATCTTTAGCAAATGTGTAGAGTCCAATGAGTCACAATAGTACTACAGTATCTATTGAACTGTGTACTAAGGATGAATTCACAGGTTAAGTCTTCTAAAGGGCTCAACATACATACACAGGGCAGGTACAGGTGCCCAAATCAACAACAGAAACTCTGAGTGTGATTTCACCAACATTAAAATACTGTGAAGAGTAAACATGAAAACCATGCTGACAAACACACAAATAAAAAGAGCTCACTCAGAACAAAATATTTACTTCGTATTTCTCTGCAGGTTATAAAAGTCGAAATTTCTTAAAACCCTTTTCTTCCATCCATACTAATCTCGCACGCTCAGTGACCTGTAAATTAACATTATGTATACCAAAAGATATTCTGGTCACTTTTCCAAAATAGGAACTGTATATCACAGTACAAATAATTACCTGGTTTTGCTAAGCTAAAAAATCCATGCATTTTGTATATTGACCACTCCTTCCCAAACCTTCACTCTAAAGTATTTCAACAGAATCCTCAGACAAATGCACAAATGTCCTCAGAGGCCTTTTCTCTAAAGACAAAGGCAGAATCCTATTGTTGGGAAAAGTCAACCTTATTATTGCATTTCCAATAGTACCATTCATCTTTCAGAGTGAGGGGCTGACCGCTACATCAGTGGTGTGACATTTGTAAAGCAACAGATTCTCAGTATATTATCTCAAGAATCAGGCAGGCGAGTCTCCCAGTCATGCATGATTTTTTTTTTCTGCCACAATCCTCCACCACCACAGAAAGAAACTTGTCTCACTGAAGCAGCTAAGGCAACCTAAAAATGATATCCCAGAGCTGTGGGGCTGCCAGCGCCACTGTATCCCTCTTACCATAAATGAGCAGTTTCTTGACTCATTAATAACAATTTCCCTTAAAAGAAGTAATCTCATATCAGTCAGCCCCTCGACACCATGCACACATCCCAAAGGTTGCAGATATCTCAGCATCAGTCGCCGGCAGCCAGCTTTCCCACACAGAGTCCAGATGGACTGTACCAGAAGCCAATTCAGCGTTAATAACTACCTACTCCGCGCAGTGGAGAAGCCTTACGTGGCACAATGGGCTAGGAAACAGCAGCCGGCTGAAACTGCAAATAAAAAAGACAACCAAATTCTCCAAAAGCACAGAAAGGGAGGAACAGAAATGGAAGCATGAATTATATTTCCTTGACTTCCATGAGAAAAAGAAAAAAGAAAAAGAAAGAAAGAAAGAAAAAAGAATCCTCCATAAATATAGAGGCAAAAAAATGAAGCAAAGGGAAAAACAAACAAACAAAAAAAAACCAAACAGATGCTGCCCAGAAAAAAGTGACAAAATATTACCTCATTATTTAACAAAGCAGCATTAAGCGTCCTGCTGATTTCAAACATCTTGCCACAGATTTTGTTTTAAGAGAAACAGATAGAATCCTTTGCAAAGCACTCCGTCTGCAAAGGGTTCTTCAATTTTCTTGCGCACCACGGAACAGTCAATATATTATTTCCCTAGAGTTCGCACATTAAAACCTCTAGTCAGTGAGCTGAATTTTCCCCTTATCTCACACACAGTAGACTCCTGTTATATGTACTGCTCTCTTTGCAAGAGCAGCCTGCCCCAAACATGGCTGGTGTTTAAACTACTCTTTAAAGTAACAGTTCACTATATAACCACCAGGTGGGTAGAGTGCACAGATTCAAATGAACCATCCTAAAAGACTGTGATTTTTTTTTCCCCTTGAAATAGCTTTTGGGTGTAGGATATAACATGAAAAACACTAGCATCCTAATAGGCATCTTATCTTGTCTCTCTCTTTGTATATTGTCAAAATAAATAAATAAAACTCCTTCTCAGACTTAGAGCGAGAAAACAAAACATCATCAAATTCTAATAAGAACTGTGAAGAATGAAGCACAAACAAGCTTTGTTTCATCACCAAGGATGATCCAGGAAAATCCAATCAACACAGAGCAAGGGGGAAAATCAAAAACTCCATGAAAATAGTTTCTTTAGCAAAAAGAGAAAAATATTGACTCACATGATAAAAAGCAAATTAAAAAAATATGTATGTGGACAAAGCGCATACTAGATGAAGACAAGAGTTTAAAGGTGCAACTTTTCTTCTGAGTAAACCATTAGGTTTATTTGATGTAGTCTTTCATAATAGGAAATAACCAGAAGCCTAAAATTAAAAAGACTGAAAAAATAAAAACAAAAAACAATCTTAAGCATCTGTTTTAAAAACAGTTATACAAATAGTTACAAACAACAGTAAGAGCAAACTAATCACATATCTCTCCTCAATGCTGTTCTTTTTCTCTAAGATTGGCCTTGAAGGGGAACATTTATGTGGTATACTATTTTGGATGTATAGCTAACTTGGTGTCTCCTTTGTACATTTTTATTGCAATTAATCTGCTCTTCAGCCAGGAATAAATACAATGTCCCAGGTTGAAAGCCCCAGGTGATGGAGGGGGGATGCTGAAAGGATGAAGAGACACCTGAACAAAAATAAACCTCATCACTCACATTGTTACACGGCCTGATTTTAAGGAGAATTTTATTAGTTAGCATGCAAGCACCATTCTACATTCCCGCGTACCTAAAAGAGAAACCAACACACACAGATACCTGGGATTTTGTTTTCTTGGCTGGACAGAATTAAAGCCTTGGAACTTTCACATCCTCTTGCAAACACGGATGTTGATACTAGTATTTTTCCAGCCCATCCAAGCAACCTTTAGACACACACCACAGTGATTGTCTCCTTCATCTTTAAGTCAAGGCTGCATCACCTAATACCATTTAACCTCCTCGCATATATTAAGTTTCAAGTGACGATTTTTAACTGGGGAGTGAGAAGGACAAGTTGCTCTCATCAAATTCTGGTTGTATGGAATAAGTTAATTTGTACACTCACCATATGTCTTAAACACTAATTAAAAAATGTCACTTTCTTCAAACATTAAAATGTAATCAGCCTAGTAAATAAAATATTCTCGAGTTTTCTTGCCTTGGTGATAATTTAAAGAGTGTTTATCTCAAGGTAACCTCTCTATTTTGATTACCAAGGAAGTCTTTTGATTTGAAAGAGGAAAAAAAGAGATACTGGGAGCTGGGGGAGTGAGAAAAGAAAACCACAACTGTACGTAGCTGCACAAAGGAAAATAAGACGAAGCGGGTTTTTAAGGACTCATAGTCTAGTTA